AGTGTGTGCAATTCCCTTCCATGCACTGCAGCCCACACTCACTCAGGTTACAGATGTGTCTGCACCTCAGATGGGATGACCCAGGCACCGTGGAAGAATGTCTGTGAACTCAGAGTGGTTTGCCTGGTGTGCCAGGCATTCTTGTCCCATCTCACGACCTGGTGCATAGTGGTGATGACAGAAAATACAACCATCATGTTCTATATCAACAAACAGGGCGAAGCTCGCTTGTCACCCCCTATGCCAAGAAGCCTTCCAGCTATGGGAGCTCTGCATAGACCACTCAATCCGCCTGGAGGCCTCATACCTACCAGGGGTTCAAAACCAGTTGTCAGACCACTTCAGCAGGTGCTTCTTCAACCACAAGTGGTTGAGTCATCAAAATATCATCCACATATACTTCCACAGGTAGGGGTTTCCCTGATCAACCTCTTTGCCACCTGCAACAACATCCCCCTGCCCCCTTCACTTATGCTCCTTCAGGAAGCACAGCCAGGGGTTGCTGATGAATCCCTTCCTGGTCCTTTGGAATTGGCACCTACTGTTCATGTTCCCACCAGTCCTCAGAATTCGCCAGGACAGGGCAGACATTCTGGTGGCCTCAGCTTACCACTCTACTGAACCTGTCAGTACAACCACCTATGCAGCTGTCTCTGCTGCCTGATCTCATCACACAGGACCATGGTCGCCTTCACCATCCAGACCTGCAATCCATCATACAGCCTGGAGACTATGGTTTGAACATGGCAGCACTCGCTGCTCAGAGCAGGCCCAGCACATATGCCTCAGTAGCTTCCACTAGGGCCACGTACCTGGCAAAATGGAAAAGGTTCACATGTTGGTACTCCCAGCGACACACAGACCCTGCCCATGACTCCATTCCAGACATATCGAAGTACCTTATGTTCCTCAAACAAGGATTCACCCTCAAGGTATAATTGGCAGCAATTTCCACTTCCCACTCAGGCAAAGCAGGTTGCTCAGTATTCCCAAGCCCCTTAGTTAGGTACTTCTTGAAAAGCCAGGACAGACTCCACCAATTAAGCACCCCATGCCTACATGGGATCTTAACCTGGTTCTCTTTTCATTCATAGGACCTTCTTTTGGACCCCTTGCAAGCAGCTTGCTTCTGTACCTAGCCACCGGGAAGGCTACCTTCTACGATGTTATCTCAGCTTGTCGTGTGTCGGTGCTTCAAGCCCTCACATCAGAATCATCCTGGACAGTCTTTCATAAAGACACGGTCCAACTTAGAACTCCTCCATGTGGCCTCCTTACTTAGGTGGTGTCTCACTTACTTCCATGCCTGTCAGGCTATCTTCCTGCCAGCAGTTTATCCGAAGACCGTCAAAGACCCATGAGAAAGAAGCTGCAGTCACTCAACATCAGAAGGATGCTCGCCTTACACATCGCCTGTACTCACCCCTTCAGGAAGGCAACACTACAGTTTGTGGCAGTAGCAGAATGCACAAGAAGGCTGCCAGTTTCCTCGCAGCATATCTCCTCCTAGATCATGGCTTGTATCCATATATGCAACAATCTGGCTAAGGTCATCCCATCTACTATGACTGCACACTCCATGCGCCCGCAGGCCTCTTTAGCTGTATTTCTAGCTCACGACCCTATTCAGGAGATCAGCAGAGTGGCAACCTGATTGTCTGTTTATACCTTCATGTCGCTCTTATGCCATTGTGCATCAGGCCAGAGAGGATTGGCTTTTGGCACAGCAGTACTGTAGTCAGCGACTTGTTGACTCTGACCCCTCTGCCTTGGTAAAGCTTGGGAACTGCCTAACTAGAATCGATATGAGCAAGCACTCAAGAGTAGATGGTTACTAACCTCCTCATAACTCTTGTTCTTAGTGGTGGTGCTCATATCTATTCCATAGCCACCCTCTCTTTGAGTAGCAGCAAGAAGGAACTGAGGGAGAAGGCACTGGATCAGCAGGGTCATACACAGAGTGGCCTATCAGCACCACTTCAGGGGACTCCACGCCAATCCAATGGATAGTTGCAAGGGAAAAACTTCAGACAGCCATGCATCTGGCGTGCACACACCTATCTGGACTAGATTAAGGATGTTAAGTATCCGTTAATTTACTAGTCAAGTAGTTGATGGAATTTCCATCGATTACTCAACTAGTCGATAGGCACTTCCGCATTCCTCCTTTGAAACATACAGGAGCTCCCAGTTGGGGCTCTTCTACGTTTCAAAGGAGGAATGCAGAATTCTGCATGCAGCCTGTGGGAAGTCCTGCTGACTCCGGGCTGCACGCAGGTGCCAGCTTTGAAATGTGCAAGAGTCCACAGCAGGAGGCTCTTGTGCATTTCAAAGTGGCAGTGCAACATGGAGCCCAGGGTCAGCTGGGGACCCCGGGCTTCACATGTGGCAGCACACCACAGCTGATCCCAGGCTCAGCTGTGTGGGACTGTCCCTTTCAGACGCTGAGGCAGCATTTCAAAGGGACAGCGCCACACAACTGATCCCAGGCTCAGCTGTGCGGTGCGGACGCTTTGAAGTACCCCTTCTCCTCCGCCAACCCCTTTGCTGCCTCTATCAGATAGAGGCAGCAAGAGGGGGGAGGGGGAAATCGACTAATCAACTGACTATCTGATAAGTACTTGCTTATCGGACAGTCGACTAGTCCTTAACATCCCTACACTAGATATGAATAACACACCTTGAAGTATGATGAATAACCGTCTTTTTCAATCAGTCAGCACTCTACTCAGTTTTCTTTTATTGAGGCAGGCAGAAGCAAATTAATGGCAGTTTTCTGGATTCCTGCATGTAATACACCACTTTGTGCATAAGTGTAGATAAATGGCAGTGTATCCTAAGTGAATCCTTACCTGTTGAACAGTGCAGGAACAACAGTTGTACATTAAGTTGCTACTTATAATAAGTATCTTATATAAGCAATAAGAGAGTTGTCTAACATTATAAGGTATGATTCTTTTAATAATCTAGTTTTGCTACTGTATATTAAGTAACTATCAGACTACATAAGTGTATACACAAGCAAAGGACCTACCCCATTGATGTATACAAAGTTCCCCAGACAGGGCCAAACATCCAGTTAGGTGGGCGCCAGGATGGCTTCTGTAGTGATTCATACCATATGGGGATTTCTCTCTTTGTTATCATGCCTCCCAAAAACCCTCCAACATGGGGCAAGAGCGTGAAACCAACAGCCGGGGCCCATGTTGGTGCCATTTCCACGGTAGATGCTGAATCTGAAACGAAATCCCAAATACCTGAATGTTTGTTTGCAAGGTGATTTTTAGAATAAAACTAATTTCAAGAGACTTAAAGATAATTATTGTAATACTTCATTCTTCTAGGGCCTGATCCAGAGTTCATTTAACAAAGAAACTTGACCCACAAGGCAAACTTCACCCCCAATGCTTACACCCACTGTTGGTTAGAGGCCTTGTGTTGCTCCTCACTCTTGTGCTACCCTCTGCACATGGGTGAATTTCACATACACAGATGTTCATTCATGGATAAATAAAGTGAGGGATAATGCAACACTATATAAATTGTACTTCTAAAACTTTATTAAGGATTGTTCATCTTTTTCACCAAACAACCGTTCATCTCGGTAAAATGCTATGCCAACAGAAACGAATAGTGTCACCAGTGTACAAGTAATTGGGGTAAGAGGGAAATGAGTGACAATTCATCCAAATACAGATTTGTGAGTCTTTTAGGTTGATCTAACAAGGCACTAATCTTCAACTCCCATTGAGCTCAAAGGGAATTGTGGATGTTCCGTGCCTGACAACACTGAAACCTTTTACTGAAAGATAAACAGCTTGTGTCAATAGGGCTAAAACAGTTTACACTAGCTAAGGATCTGCTCCAGACAATTGGAGAGTCTATTTAAGATGGAATTGAAAAGCAAGCAGGGTATGGGGGTGCAGTGATTGACGGACTGGATAACTGATCAAGATATCTTGGTTGGTAGAATCATAAACAATACATCACATTAAAACTCTGAGTAAAAGAAAAACTGGAAAGAATCCTTGAGGTGTTGCATCTTGCCTTATGTTGCCCTAGCTAAATTAGCAAAAGTAGCATTAAGAATGAATAAATAAATAGGCTGGAAAAGCTCTACCCCAAATTTTGTGGCCATAGATCCATTGCTACAAACAATCCTATGCTGGCTATCTAAGGCTCACAGGACTCAGGCTAACAGATTGTTTTAACTGCAGTGTAGATATTCAGGCTTGGACTGCAGCTAAACATGTCAGATGGCTGGCTTTCTATCAGAACATCTAGTCAAAAAGGGACCCTAGCAGCTCTATTCAGCACTGCTGACTAAGATGTCGAAAGTCTGGCTAGCCTAGGGGTGGACAATAATTTTTTACTGTGGCCCCAGGCTGCATCAGAAGGGGCAGGGCCTCAAAAGGAAGGGGTGAGCCAGGATGGTTTGGGCTTCCCCACCCTTAGAGCCTGATTGGTCTGGGAGTGGAGGAGCCCCTTTTTCCCCCCCCTCCCCACTAAGCACCCATGTCCCCAGCGGTGGGAGGAGACTTCCCATGCTCCCCCGCTCCAGGCCAATCAGGGTCTGGGGGCAGGGGAGCACATGAAGCCTCCTCCTGCCCTGCCAGGAGCGAGTGGCATTTCTAAGTGCCGCACGCGCCTTGCAGGGCGGGGGCAGGGCAGAGGAAACTGCACGCACTTCCCCCGCCCCCAGGCCAATCAGGGCTTGGGGGTGGGGAAGCGCGAGAAGTCTCCTCCTGCCCTGCTAGGAGCGCATGGCACTTCAAAGCACCACGTGCTCCTGACAGGGCGGAGGAAACTTTGTGCCCCTCCCCCTGCCCCCAGGCCTTAATTGGCCTGGGACGGGGGAGCGGTAGGGCTTCCATGGGCCAGATCAACCTGCTTGGCAGGCCGAATCTGTCCTGTGGAGACCCTTCTGCCCACCCCTGAGCTAGCAGCTTGCATGGGGGCAGGCAGCATGCCTGCTCAGTTCCTGGAAAGCTGCTGGCATCTCTGACTCCTAGGCACAGGAGCACTACGGGGGCCCCCTACACTGTCCCTTCCCCAGCTGCTGGCTCTGCAGCTCCCATTGGCTAGGAACCTTTCCCAAAAAATGCCTTTCAAGATCCATTAGTTGTGCATATGCTTATAATGCACTCAATGCCCCAATAGCAACTACATGAGTGTACAACACACAATAAACTATAAAAGCGACGAGGAGTCCTGCGGCACCTTATAGACTAACAGATTTATTGGAGCATAAGCTTTTGTGGGCAAAGACCCACTTCGTCAGATGCTTTTGCAGATTCAGACTAACACAGCTACCCCTCTGATACTTGACACAATAAACTATGTTCTTGAATGAGGTGTCCCCAGCAAGATCTTGCAGCTCCCATTGGACAGTTTCCAGCAAAAGGGAGCTGCCTGTTTGCAGGGCAGGCAGCGCAAGAAATACTCCTTCTCCCTCCAGATTCACAGCACTCACTTGCCCTCTGCAGCCAGTGCAAGGGCATGGAAGACAGGGACCCTGACTGACGAAGCAGCTCGGCTTCTGGCCAGGAGCTGCCCAGGTAAGAGCCTCCTGGCCAGAAGCTACATCCAGTACCCCAGCCCTTTCTATCCCCCAAACTTCTATCCCTCTCCTACACCCAACCCAAACCATCTGCCCCCCTAATCCTGCACCCATACCTCCTCCCAGACCCTGCACCCCTCCTATATCCTTTCTCCAGGTCACAAACCCTTCCCAGACCTTGCAGCCAAATTCCCTACCTGATCACAACCCAAATTCCTGAACCCCCTCCTTCATCCAAACTCCCTCCCAGGTCCTATATCCCCTCCTGCACTAGCTGCATCCCCCCCCAGCAGACCAGGGAGATGTGGAGCAAAGCGGCAGAGGACCCGGGCCGGACCGCGGCGCTTCCAGATCAGCGCCGCGGTCCGGCCCGGGTCCTCCGCGGCTTTGCTCAGCGTCTCCCTGGTCTGGACCCATGGCGCTTCCAGATCAGTGGGAAGCGGGTCCGGCCGGGTCCTCAGATCTGTAGACCAGGGAGACGCTGAGCAAAGTGGCAGAGGACCCGGGGCTGGACCCGCGGCCGCTTCCAGATCAGCTGGAAGCGCCGCGGGTCCGGCCGGGTCCTCAGATCTGTAGACCAGGGAGACGCTGAGCAAAGTGGCAGAGGACCCGGGGCTGGACCCGCGGCCGCTTCCAGATCAGCTGGAAGCGCCGCGGGTCCGGCCGGGTCCTCAGATCTGTAGACCAGGGAGACGCTGAGCAAAGCCGCGGAGGACCCGGGCCGGACCGCGGCGCTTCCAGATCAGCGCCGCGGTCCGGCCCGGGTCCTCTGCCGCTTTGCTCCACATCTCCCTGGTCTGCTGGGGGGGGATGCAGCTAGTGCCCCCCCCCCGCAGCAGACCCGGGAGACATGGAGCAAAGCCCAGGGCCTGTGGTAGAGCAGGTGGGGCGCTGCCGGTTGGTCCCGCAGCACCGCTCCTTGGCGCTACTGGACCAACCCGGCAGCACCCCAGCTGCTCTGCCCCAGGCGTCCCCAAGTTAGCCACTGCTGAAACTGACCAGCAGCTGACTACAGGAAGCCCGAGGCAGAGTTGCTCTGCCCCGGGCTTCCTGGAATCAGCTACTGATCAGTTTCAGCAGCGGCTGAATCTGGATGCCAGTTCCGACTTACATACAGATTCAACTTAAGAACAAACCTACAGTCCCTATCTTGTACGTAACCCGGGGACTGCCTGTAGTAAAGTACTTTTATTAATATAATCTGAATTGCATTAAGAGGAGCATTGCCAGAAGATCCACAGATGTCATTATTCCCCTTTATTCGGCTTTGGTGAGGCCACATCTGGAGTATTGTGTCCAGTTCTGGGCCCCCCACTACAAAAAGGATGTGGATGCATTGGAGAGGGTCCAGCGGAGGGCAACCAAAATGATTAGGGGGCTGGAGCATATGACTTATGAGGAGAGGCTGAGGGAGTTGGGTCTGTTTAGTCTGCAGAAGCGAAGAGTGAGGGGGGATTTGATAGCAACCTTCAACTATCTGAAGGGAGGTTCCAAAGAGGATGGAGAGAGGCTGTTCTCAGTAGTGACAGATGTAGAACAAGGAGCAATGGTCTCAAGTTGTGGTGGGAGAGGTCCAGGTTGGATATTAGGAAAAACTATTTCACTAGGAGGGTAGTGAAGCATTGGAATGGGTTACCTAGGGAAGTAGTGGAGTCTCCATCCCTAGACGTGTTTAAGTCTCGGCTTGACAAAGCCCTGGCTGGGTTGATTTATTTGGGTTTGGTCCTGCCTAGAGCAGGGAGCCGGACTTGATGACCTTCTGAGTTCTCTTCCAGCTCTATGGTTCTATGATTCTATGAATGACTGGTATTTGGTGTGTGTAGCTTTGTATCTAAATCTTGAAAGTATGTATCTTTTAACTATGGTGTAGCAACTAAACTATGTTCCCTTTTTACTAAATTGTATTGTGGAATGGGTTAGTGATTTAATAGCTTCACAGTAAATTTGTTTGTTACTTTTTGTAAATTTTAGAGGATGAAGCTAAGGCTTATCAGGTGGTGCAAGTTAATTGAGATGATACTGATGATGAACAATCAGAGTAATGATCTTTAAAACGGGGAACAAAGAGGACCTGGACAACTATAGACTAGTCAGACAATTCAATGTTTTCATTAGTGAGTTATAGTGGAGAGCCATTATACAATTTGTAGATACCACCAAGCTGGGAGGAATTGCAAGCACTTTGGAGAATTAGAATACAAAATGACCTTGGAAAATTGGTCTGGAATCAATTAGATGAAATTCAGTAAGCTTCTGTCTATGATGAGCCTAGTCATCCTGCACTCAGCATCTGCTTTAGCCATCCATGAGTGGGAGGTAGGCAGGGAGCCACTCCTGCCTGGACACAGAAGTCCCTCTACTCACCCCTTGAATCAGTTAACCAGTTAAATGGAATTTTACATCCCTAATTTGATGGCAAAGATTGGATAACAATTAAGATTGATGTAAAATATATTTAAGAAATATGGGAATCAGGTTTAGAGAGGAAGGTAGGTTTTAAAATGGGTGTTTACTACTTAGTGCTAAATGTGGTAACACAGACTATTAATCTTATCTCTTCTGGTTGGGAGTTTCACAGGAGCTGGCCTCTGCAGAAGCATGGAAATTTTTTCTCCCAGCTTCAAGAGCCTGCCTATAATAGAATGCAACTGTTTTAGAAAGTAATAGCCTTAGAAATAGATGTGATTTCTGTTGGGTAGGTCGTCTCTCTGACTATCAGAGCAGAGACCTTGAACTGGACTCTGTATTCAGTGGGGACCAGTGCGGAGAGAATGACATTGGAGAGAGGTACCTGTGTGGTCAGAGCCATGTGGATACAAAATTGATAGCCATATCTGCAAAAATTATCCGTGGATATCAGCATCAATATCTGCAGATGTGAATACCACAGATATAAAGCAGATGTCCACAAATTTACAGGGTTCTAGATACAAAATTTATATCCACGGATTTGCAGGGCTCTGCTTACTGTGAACTCTTGTTGTTATGTAGATATGCTTCTGTGATGTTTTCTACCAGCTGGATACTTTTGAGACACACTTAATTCCTAGATATGAGCTGTAGTATTCATGCCTTTATACTGCAGAGGCCACAGCAAAGCCTCCACAAGAGCGGGGCCATCAGTCCTGCCCCTGGGGAGGAAGCTTTGCGTCCCTGCCAGCTGAGTTTGAGTTTAACCGATAAGCTTAATGATAATTGTTACACAGTTAGTTGGTTACACTCATTAGGGATGAATCACCATCTCTAGATTGGCGTCTAATTGTGACTAGTAAAAAAATTACACTTCATCCAAACAGAAATGGGTAGCTTTTGTGCTGTAGCTATGTAGTCATTTAACAGCAGAGAGGAGTTTAGGAACCCTAGACTGTAGACAGGGCCATCCTTAGGGATTAGTGGGGCCTGGGACAAAGCAACTACTGCTGGTTTTGGGGAGGGAGAGTATCTAGGAAAAAATAGGTCCCCACCAATGAGGGGGGACCATTGATGGATGGGTCATTGGGATGGATCCAGCCTGGTGCTAGGCCACATACTGCTGCTGGCAGTTCCTGGCATCTATTACAGGGATATTCTTAACCATAGTGCTACAGTGCCTTAGGACGCCAGTCAGGATGGGGGACTCACTGCAATGAAACGCAGGTGACCAAATTGAGCACTGTCTCTCAACTGCCAACAAGATGGTGGGACCTGTGGACATGATGGCTTTGTCTTTCGGGACCAATCACACTGGCAAATGGGGGCCCCTAAATGTGCAGGCCCTGGAACAGTCTCCCCAATTTGCCCTACCCAAGAGACAGCTCTGGCTGAGCTTGGCTTAACCTGAGAGTAGATGCCCTTGATAATGGGGGATGCTAAGAGAAGTGAGTTATTCAGAGCATGTCTCTTCCCACCAGCATTGCCTCAGTTAGGCCTGAGTGCTGTTCTTCATCCAATGTATCTCAACTCAGAGGGGAGCATTGCTCTTTATACCTCTTGCAGGGGAAAAAACAAGAGAAGAGCTGTGTGGTGTCTCTGTTCTGTTGTCAGTTCAGTCCACATTGTCTCACTGGCTTCTCCAATGCTGAATAAGATGGAAGGGAAGACTGAGATTTCACATAATGGGATTGCATAGAGGAAGGTGCTGGCGGTAAAGTAACTTTTTTCCCGTAATGACTCTTTGGTCTCTGAAGGTCCAGCTGTATTGTTTGCTATTCTGGTTCATTTTCACTCCAGTGAGTTAAATGACCCAATTCCTTTTATTAAATGGCTCCATGAAATGTGACTCACTGTTTGATGTTGTTTCAGAACACCAAAGTAACGCCCACTGATTACACAAGTGCAAATGCAGACTTTTATACTTTTTTCTTATAATCTTCAGTTAGGGATCACTTAACTAAAGTCTGTTTCACTTTAGCCTTTCATGAATTTACTCTATTTCATTACATAGTGTCACAGAAAAGAGCAAAAACAAGCATATTCTTTTCCCCCTCTTACTAACAGGTAGAATAAGCTTGCAATAAATATAGCCAGTTGTGAGATTTATTGACGGGTAAATGCTACTAGTTTAAAATCATACTCAAAACTATCTCGACCTCACTGGGGAAAAAAAGTAAATATTGACCACATGAAATTCTGGATGTGAGGATAAAGTTCAAGGCCCCTATGAAGCCAAATGAGATACAACTGGGCCAAGAAGGAACAGGAGTAAATGCTATTAGTTTTGTTAAATGTGTAATAGTTCACTAGCTAGGGTCTGGCTCATTGCCGCTGAATGAATGGACCCAAACTGCACAGGGGTTCTACAATGGTAGAGCAGCTTTAAATTACTATGGGGTTTAGCACTAAAGGCTGGTTTAGTAAATCTTTTGGCTATTTGCCTGTTTGACACCTCCCACTAACTGTGCTTCATGGGTCAGCTCCAGGTATCATGGCCATTTAGATTGGAATAAATACACTTGTGGAGATACTTTGCTACAGTCCAAATTCCACCAGCAGAAGCCTGTATTACATAAGGAAAGGTTACGAAGCACTATTTCCCATTCTTTCCTAGAGTCAGCGAGCCTTCCCAAATGTTTTCTTTCTGTGTTCACATAAACGTGGGAGAAAAGGAAACAACTTTCTTTAACATTTTAACTGCAAAATGTCAAATGCTAGTGACAAATCGCAAGCCCCCTATAAATTAACTACTGATCTATCTGAAACTTTATTAGCATACACCGTACAGTATAGCATTTTGTATTAATAATAATAAAGTGCCTCTTAAATGATACTGTGTGTTTTACAGATGAACTAACCGAGGTTAAGACTGGACCGAGGCTAGGAATCCCACTCCTTGGCTCTTTCACTATGGCTGTGTCCAGACTCAGGGTTTTTTTCAAAAAAGTAGCCTTTTTTTGAAAAAAACCTCAACTGCGTCTAGACTACAGCCGCGTTCTTTCGAAATTAAATCGAAAGAACGCGGCTTTTCTTTCGACGGCGGTAAACCTCATTTCACGAGGAAGAACGCCTTCTTTCGAAAGTTCCTCTTTCGAAAGAAGGCGTTCTTGAATGTAAATAGGGCTTCTTCGAAAGAGAGCATCCAGACTCACTGGGTGCTTTCTTTCAAAAAAGCAAGCCGCTTTTTCGAAAGTTCCACGTGCAGTCTAGACGCTCTCTTTCGAAAGAGGCTTACAGTCTAGACATAGCCTATCAGGCACTGCATGACAGGGCTGTTCCTGCAGTCCCAACGCTGCCTGGCAATGTGTGGCACTACAAAACACCGCCTCCCGGTTGCTATTTCCGAGCACTCGGTGTGGCACCCAGGGGCTAACCCCCTCGTGCTATTCCCAATGTCTCCTCGGCCACGAGGTGTGGTGGAGAAAGTGCTCCTCCGCCCCTGCTGCTAGATCCAGGCCCATAGAGTGGCACCGCTGACTCTCCCTGCTTCCTCCTGGCGCAACTGTGGTTTCTGAGAGCCCCGCCGTTTCCCTTGGAAACTAGCAGTTCCCTCCTCCCGCCGCCTTAATAGGGAATCGCTGGAGAGTCTCAAGCAGAAGCTCGTGCCCGGGGAAGGCAGGGGGAGACTCACTCACCTGCTGCAGCCCGGAGTTCGGCAAGGAGCAGAGCAGAGGACAGGCCGAGGGCGCTGCTCTATGGACCCAGCAGGGGTGCGGCTTGAGCGCGCGTGTCCCTCCTACGCGCGTCGGAGCGGCGGGAGCTGGAGCAGCAGGGCAACCGGGGGCGGAGCTGGCTGCACCCTCTGCCTTGTGTGCTTGGGGGGGAGCGGGGCGCGGCCCTGCACAGCTCCAGCGCGCACGGGGGGGGGAGGGGGGTTAGGGAGCGTCTTAGACTCACAATTTGTGTTGTTTGGCTCCAGTCTGTCCCGCTGCAGGAGGAGTCGGCGGCGGCGTTTGCAGCGACCCTGGCTGAGTGCGCGGAGATTTCACGCGCAGATCCCGAGCCCCTTCTGTTCACACTGTCGCGGGCAAAAGGGCGCTCGCTCAAAGTGGCAGCAGCTCCTGGGCAGTTCCAGACCTCGTTCTTCCCTTCCTGCAGTGCGTGTTCCGGGCGGCGGAGGCGTGGTGGGTTAAAAAAATAAAAGGAAGAATTCCTGTTTTAAAAATGAAAGTGAAAATAATAAGCCCCATGTTTGACTTTTAATAAGAGGCTTGATTTTGATGCAAAGGGGTCTAAGCCACGCTCGGCTGCCTACAGTCACGATTTCTGCTGGGTCTGGGTGGGAGGTTAGACAGCAAGTGCTCTAAGCTTACACTAAAAATGGGGGGAAGGGGAGTAATATCGTGCACCTCTATTTGGAGGAGCAATTGAACTCATCACAGGGCTGCCTTCGCTTCAGTCTAGAGCAGAAAAATGCTTCTTCCCACTGAAGCAGCGCAGACTGCAGTGGTTAGGGGGACAGGTTTGTATAATTCTTGGTGAGGTCCAGAATGGGCCAGGAGTGAGGGAGGGCTGAGAATGACGGGTTTGGGGTCTGGGAGGGGCTCAAGCCTTGAGCAGAGGGTTGGGGCCAAGGGGGTAAGGGCTCTGGGATGGGGATGAGACAGGAATGAGGAGCTCAAACTTTGAAGTCCAGGAGGCAGGCTGCCCTGGGGCTGAAGCCAGAGAGGGCAGATCCTCCTCCCCCTCCTGGCACTCACTCAAACCTCAGAAGAAGTCCACTCTGAGTCACCTGCGGGGGTGGGGGGTGCATGCCCCTTTTCTCTGCAAATGCAGCAGTCAGCCTGTCATCGCTGGCCCCATTCCTTACAGCCAACCAGGCTGCAGCAGCTGGTGAGGGAGTGCAGGGGGCCCAGGAGCAGCTGCCTGCTGCCCAGGGCACAGATCAAGTGAGGGTTGGGGAGGCATGCGGGGGGCTATTTGGTGGAGCTAAGGGACATGCAAAGAGAGGCCCACAGGGGTGACAGATGGGGCCAGGGAAGAGATCTGGCCCTGATATTGGTGGAGTCCAGCAGAGTTGTTCCATCCATAGAATAGTTTGGGGGCAGCCACTCCAGGCCCTGCACTTTGGGGGGCCCTGCAGCAGCTGCCTCAGCCATCCTATGGACCATGAGACAGTCCCCCATCTCATCCGTGGTGGGCCCAGGGTGGCTTAGAAGAGTATTGGGGGTCTGACATGCAGTGACAGCAGGGGTCTGGGCCTCCCTGCGCTCACCATGGCAGTAGGAGCTGAAGTGACCCCACAACCTACTTCATCCCACCGCCATCTCCCAGCCTGCTACCCGCTGCTTCACCATGGCAGCAGGAGGCGGGCATCCTGGCCTCGCTCCACTGCATGATGTAGGGTTAGGGGGAGCGGACTGGGACCATGGAGTTCCACTTCCCGCTGCTGTGGTGAGTATGGAAGGAGGCTAACCCCTGCTGCCACCCTGCACCTGGTAACCCTCCAGCTCAGGTTGCATAGGGGAGGGATGCAGTGAAGGCAAAGGCTGGTAGGGTTGCCAGGTGTCTGGTTTTGAACCGGACAGTCCAGTATTTGAGCTTTCTATTTGGGAAACAAACTGAAAAAATATAAATGACAAAATAAAAATGTCCCATATTTTCTAAATAACATTGTAATGTAAATTGTGATGTAATGTCAAGTGCGTCCAGTATTTTTGTTGAAACCATCTGGCAAACCTAAAGGCTGTGCAGGGATGGAGTAGGGGCAGGCTTGGGGGGGGAGGGAAGTGAAATGGGGTGGGGCACAGGGCAGGGTGGTAGCCCTGGGTCCCTCTAGGGACAGCCCTAGAGCCTGGGCAATAGGGGCCCCCAGGTGGTTATAAGACTTCTTCTATCTGCTGTACTTGTAATTGTTACTTGTAACATTTGTGAAACTTTACACGTGCTCTTATATGTTCGACACCCAACACGAAAATCTCCATTAATCTCCTGATAATTAATTGAGTCGGCTTGCCAACTTTTGTAGGGATAACATATTAACGTATTAAAAATGTGATTCCCCCAAATGGAAGTGACTCCCCATAATTTGTTCCCCACAACTTAAAGTGTTTAGATTTATTAAGATTCTTCTTCTTATTATTATTATTTGTTAAGATTGTTAAATGTTTAGATTTATGATTATTATTGTCCCTTTAGAATATAATGTATTAGGTAATGTAACTTAGAACTGTTAAAAATATAATCCTATGTAACCAGAAACAGCCCCCCCCTCTGTGCTCCAGGGCATGCTCAAGCTTGTGCAAGGGGCTGCTTGAAATTGACATTGCAGAGATACATTGTAACAATGCATTGTCAAGCC